ATTGTTGCAGGCTGAGAAGTTAAGAGGTTGTGTGACCCCTCAAAGACCGAAGTACATGATGGGTTGTCTGGAATGAATTCACTGACTCAAGCATTCTTAAGTCAAGGTGGCAAAGTTTATTGTTACGCTTTTCAGCGGGCAAAGATTCTTAAGGATTCCTGCAACCTTAGAGAGGTACAGTTATATATATATAGGATATATAGATATAGGATAAAATACAATAAAACATGTGCCAAAATATGCTAACTAGGGGATTCAGGGTGGGATTAGGGAGTGGTTAAGGAGCAGTCAGTTTTTAAAGGAACATGCACTTCTTGTATCTATTTTGCAGGCATTTTACCCAGAGTTCACTAGGAAAAGCCCACAAGAGGGGCCCATATGGAGGTGTGGTTTTAGGCCTGCTACTTCACTAAGTCAACCAGAGTTCAGGGTAACTGAGAGTTGTCCAGTCTGCCACCAATCAATGTCTTGTTTGACAAGATAGATGTAGGGAGTTACACATACGTCTTAAGTCTAGAATACAATTAATGAGGAGCCCAGGATGTAGATAATGAGGTAGGGCGGTAGTATGTCTTTATGACCCAGTGCAAAGCTAGTTTAAACTAATAAATCCTTCAGGTGCTGTTTGGAACTGCACCAGGGAGAGAGATAAGGGTCTTGCTGGGGCCCACTCATGGGTAATTGCTAGGCACAGAGTACTTGGGCTGGGGAGAAACTGTCAGGGACAGTGTTTCTGAGGCTAGAGAGAAATTGGAGTCCAAGTACAAGCACCCAAGCATAAGCACCCAAGCACCCCATCACTATGACCCAAAGCTCAGGCTCCCCCATGGCTGGGATTATAGTCATTGGCCACCAAAACTTGGCCACTACAGGATCTTGCACAGAGTGACATGATCATATCTACGTATAAGAAAGATTTGCCTAGCAGTAATATGCAGGGTAGACTGGAGGTCTGAGAAGGGAGAGAGAGAAGCTTGTTAGGAGGAGATGACGGGAGTCCAGATTGCAGTCTGTGAGCATTGTACTTAGCAGCAATTTAGGACAATCAGTGACTGAGGGCCACTTGAGCTCCGAGTAGGAGGTATTAGGAGGGGAGCAGAGCCTATTTCAGGACAAATGTGCATTTTCGTAAGTCTTCCTGCCTTCTCTGAAGCCCTGTGATACGTAGTTACTTACTTTGTTAGTTACTAACATCAATGTCATGTTAGTTTATCACTGCTGTGCCCCCTTTGTTCATAGCACATCTGTAATTAGGAAGCCGTTGGGGCTCGGCTTAGGACATCAGCCTCGAGGTGGTTCACTTCTTCCCCATGGCAGCGATCTTGGCTGTGTCCCTGAACCTCTCTGAGAAGACTCTCCTGGCACTTTGTAACATGCCGCTGGCCTGCGGAATGCAATGGATCTCTTTCCTTGGCCCACCCCCAGTGACTACACTGTAGGATGGCACTCTGTTCTTTAACAGAGCTCTACCTTCACGGTCCCTGTGTTCCTTGTGACCCACTAGCTCAGTTACCCCTCCATCCATGGTTCCACTGCCAGGAAGCTCCTGTCTTGGCTGCCTTCCATCCTTTGGGTGCCCAGATGAATATATCTGAGGGACTGTCATCCTCCTTGAGCTGGACAGTCCTCTGCACCAGCCCTGCCACTTCCCCCATTCCACTCTTCTCGTGGTCCCAGATGTGCCACCCCTTACCCTTCTCTTCTGATACTCTGCGTCACCACTGGCCGTGGCTACCCTACCAGCTCTCACCACAGAGATTTCTAGTTATAACTCTAAGTTCAGGCTTTTTTGCATAGCTGGGTGATAAAAATGCACTTCCACTAAGAAAGTTTCCCAAAGGCTTAAGCCATTACTAAGAGAAATTGAGCTTTATTTTAGCTTTTAAACCTCCTAAAGATGAGACCATAGGATCAGAGCTCTTGTGCTGATGGGGACATCAAAGATTCATCTCTTTCAACCCCTATCTCCCTCCACTCTTCCCCCCCCCTTTTTTTTAAAGATGAGAGAACTGAGGCCCAGAGACATGAAGTGATTTGCATAAGCTCACATAGGTAACACATGGCCTAAACCTTCTAATTCTAAATCTTTGCACTGAATGGTGGTGCCTGGAGGAGGCTTTTTGTAAGATATATGGAAAAGTGAACTTCTGAGGAATCTGCATCAATTTTTCCTTATACTCCCAGATTTCTTGTTCTCTTCCTTCAGAGTGAGGCCCTTATGACACATCTCACTTCTTTTCATTAGGGTTCTTTGAGCCAGTTTTTCCTGGAGCAGCTGCCTCTTTTGGTTTTCTGGCTGAACCTTGGGTTTCAGTTTTCTTTGTATAATGGAAAGCCTGTCCAATGAGGGCCCAGTCTGAGAGCATTCTGCAAATTTGCCCTTCCTGGTGGGTTATATGCAGCATCCCTTGCCTGGTTCCAACTCTAAATATGGAGGCATGGTGAGCCCCTTTATGGCCATGAACGACTGGACTAGGGATAGGATTGGTGCTATATGAAGAGGAATTTTCTGGTTGGCTGAAGAGCCAAAACTGAATTTGAATACAAAAGAATCTACACACTTCTTTGTTGGACTTCTTGTGATTTTTTTTTCTTCCTTGAAGTTATACAAGTAAGAACTGGTGTGAGCCACTGGGCAGCAGGAAGAGCACCTGGCACTGTCCTCCTGCCCCCAGCTGCCATGTATCCCTGAGTACATGGTGATTGCTTTTTCTGTGTATCCATTCTTTCTTGATCTTAGGTGAATGAGTATCCAGCAATGGAATTGACCAGGTTATGACACTGTTAGCTTTGAAAGGTTGGAGGAGCCATCAAAGGTCTCCTTGGCAAACAGAACTGATAGCAGAGACCACAGGTTCTGGTGGCAGCAGCTGTCAGGTCCAGTGAGGAGTCGGTTCAGTGGCCAAGTGACCTGCTTGACTGAACCTGGCAGTCTGATTGACCTGTCAGCTGAAACACTAATCCTAAAAAGAGCCAGCCCAGCTGAGCAAGGGGAGTAACTAGTCTTTGCCAAAGCTTTGCCCCAAAAAGAACTTGGAGGGAACTCCACAAAGGGAGAAAAAGACTTCCATGGCCAGGAATGTTGAGGCAACTCCATGTGTTCCCCACATCTATGCTCCAAGCTATTTCAAGCTTGAACCCATTCTTACCTGGGACCTTGTTTATGCAAGGGGAGAATACTCACCCAGTTTGGAAGAAGTTTTTGTAACTTCTGTCCTTGCTATACCATCCCAATAAATATCCCTTTCAAAAATCTAATTGATCGCAACTGATTTATATAGGGGTGGGGGAGAGAACACATCAGCTGGGGGCGTTCAAGCAAAAGTATTAGAAACGAATCCTGAGGAAGTTATCATTTAGGGACTTATTGGGTGGTGCAAGTGTGAGCTGGGGAAGCATCCCAGAAAGAGTGTTACACTAATTTGTTTGTAAATAAAAGCTTTTATTCAAATCATTAAGACAAACGTGTATTTTTCCCCCAACACCCCTTCTTACCTCTCCTGAAAACCTGTAATGTTCAGAACCCCATGGGCATGGGGTGGTTGGAGGGTCATGAGAGGAAGATGAGATTCGGAGTTAGAAGACTTATTTTCATATGTCATCTCTGCTACTTACTCCATCTTGGACAAATCCCTTTGACTCATTAGGCCTTAGTTTCCCCATTTATAAAATGAAGGGATTGGGCTAAATAATCTCTAAGGTCACTGCCCAGCTCTGGCCTTATGCCCCATTTGGTTGAGAGGTTTTTCATGTGCTGTGTGCCAGTCCTGGCAGAACCGGGGTGGGCCAGGGAGAGGGAGGATGTCCTACAGCTACTCTTCTGGCTGAAATCAGACATGCAGGTAGATAGCTGCCACTGCAGAGAACTTCCAGTTGGTCCTCCACATATGTCACTAGCAAGGCAGACTGTAGCATCAGACAAGGCGTGTCACCTCTCAAGAACTGGGTTGGGCATTGGTCCAAGCCACACACCGGGTTTTGCCCTGACCATTCAAATGGAACATTACAGAAAGAAGGGTCACATGGCTACATTCTTTCCCTCCTCTCCCTTCTCCTCCCTTCTTTCTCCCATCCTTGCCACCACATCCCCCACTGAACACAGATGGGGCAGATGGTAGGGGGGAGGGGGTCTTGGGGCCTGCTTGGAGCAGAGAGAGTATGAAATAACACTGAACAATTTATTCATTGCACAATTCTCTTTCTCATTTTTCCTCCCCTCCTGAGAAAGTTCTAATCTACACTTTATTTAAGCTAAAGAAATACTCCACATGTCTAGACAAAAATGGCCCTGCTCATTCCATTAATATTTCTTAAGTGCCTACTAAATGCAAGGCATTTTGCTAAATAAGAATAATAATATTTCTGTAGCACTTTACACATATTATCTCACAACTCTGTGAGGTGGATGCTATTATTATCTCCATTTTACAGTTGAGCTCTAAAAGGTTGTTACTTTCCTATAGTCACAAAGCTGGCAGGTAGAAGAGAGAGAATTTGAACCCAGTTTTTCCTAACTCCAGGTCTAAGACTGTTCACTACAACACAACACTGACTTTGGAGAATGGGAGAGGGAAGGAGGGAAACCTGGAAGCAAAGTCAATAAGGAGATTTTGCCCTCTCCCCTCCCTTTCTCATAAAACCTTATTTCCATGCCCAGGCCTGTTTATTTGGTTTTTTTTCCTCTGTGTGTGTGTGTGTGTGTGTGTGTGTGTGTTGTGTGTGTGTGTGTGTGTGTGCAGCAGGGCCTCCTTCCTCTTCCCATCTTTTCCCATTTTAGCTTCCTTTTCCTCTGGACCAGTTCCCTCATTCCTCTACCTCCACCTTTGTCTCTCCCAGAAACCTGTGAATTCCAAAGAGCCTCCAGCCTCAGGCAGCTGCCAGGAGTGAGAGCAACAGACAGAGCCTGTGCCATCCTGCATAAGTCTGTGTGTGCCTCCCCCAACTCTCTGTGTGCGTGTGTGCATCATCTGTAAGAGCTCCCCTCTCTCCCCCCTCCCCTCCACCTCCCTTTCCTTTTCTTTTCATGAGATTCAGAGCTAGGAGAGAAGCGGGAGCAGCATGTCGCTGCAGTTCTAATCTAGAGGCTCTTGTGGTCAGGCTGGCTGCCCCTCGGCTTTCCAATGTATCAAGAGGCAGCAGACTCTGTCATTCAGGGCCTCATTGAGCCATGCCCACACGGAGCCCGTCCCAGCTGTGTTTCTCCTGCCGTTCTGACCACCGCCAGACAGGTAAGGAAGGCATGGCAGCTAGCATTACAGGGAGTCAGCCCCTCCGATCCAGCCAAGGCTCAGAAAGGGCAGGGCTGCAGGACCCTCCCCCGCCATGCTCCCTCTTCCCCCCCAAGTCCTCAGCATCTCTGACCACCCTTCAGCAGCTGACCCTCAACACTGAGCCTGGCTAAGAACAGCAAGCCGGTTCAAGGGTGGGAAGGCTCTGCTGGTCTGGCCTCTGCTGGAACCCTCATCAATCTCATGAAGCTGCTTCTGTCAAGAGTCTGAGGGCTGTGCCCACTCTTCTTAATTAGCAGTCTCTAAGCTGCACATTGTCTCATCTTTACCTTCTTCCCTGTATCAAGTGAAACTCTCCAGATTCCCAGATGCCAGGTTTCTGTTCCTAGGATCTCTCTCTCTCTCTCTCTCTCTCTCTCTCTCTCTCTCTCTCTCTCTCTCTCTCTCTCTCTCTCTCTCTCTCTCTCTCTCTCTCTCTCTCTCTCTCTCTCCCCCTCCCTCCTTCCCTCTCTTTCTGTCCCCCTTCCCCATTGGTGCCGATCCCTTCACACTGTTACCATAATAATTTCAGCCTGCTATCTTAAGGTATGACATCTTCACTCTGTTTTCAATTTCATTCATTCATTCATTCATTCATTCATTCATTCATTCATTCATTCATTTTGTTGTTGTTTTAGCTGGGTTATATGCAAATTGGATTTGCTTTGCTTTTAGTTGAGTTGCAGGTCAGGTGATAAATGCTGCCACCCGTGGGCTCAAATTTACAAAGGGTGAGAGTGAGATAAAAATATGTGGGAGATGGCAGGTTCTAAACGCTATGCTTGGCACTGTCTGAATGGGTCCTTCCCGAGGTATTTCTTCTAGGGCTGCCTAATGTGTGACTTTCTTTAGAAGCAGCTCACTCTCCTTGCTGTATAATTTGACACAATCTATTTTATCAGGCACTCTGTAATAAACCCCCTGTGTGGTCCTGGCCTCTGGGAGCTTAGAGTCAAATGAAACAGCATGGAAAGCCCAGGCCATCCTCCCTTTGGGTTATTTTTGGCTAGTTTGTTCTTGTAGCCTTGGAAAACTTCAAGGTTTCCTTGGAGTGTACAGGAGGCTCTGGAAAGTGGAGGAGGAAGAAAGCTGCTATTATGAGAGAATGAGTGCTTTTAAAAAGTTGCAAGGGTTTTTTTTTTAAAGCAAAGTGGCATTATTATTGTTTTTATTATTGTTGTTATCATGATTATTTCTGGGGCTATAGCTTCACAATCAATGAAGAAGGTATTTAATGAATGCCTGCTGTGTGCTCAGCTGGCTTTCTGGGAGAAGTCTGGGTTGGGAAACAGTGGAGAGATACGTAGTTCTGTATTTGGTTTTTCACAATGTAGCCAGATTGAGGCAGGCTGGAAGCTGTGCTACTCTGCTGGGACAGGCCCTGGACTGTAAGATTCTTTTGGCATCCCTCTGATGCCACATATCATTCAGGATACAAATACTAATTCTTCATTAAGTCCAGTTATCCTTGTTTTCTCAGTCCAGTTGAATAAAACATGTTGTGAATGAGATTTGTTTCCATATGAGCCAGTCAACTCTAAACAGAGGAAAACTATTCCTGACCATCCACATGGAATGGATTGCTTCCATAACCCTGAGCAGCAGCAGCCTCATAAATGTGAGAGAACCCAGTTACAAGGTCTGGGTGGGATGAGAGGCTGTGGATGGCTTAACATGGTCCATTTCTTCTCTGACATTTTAATAGATTTGCCATTTTGTTGATGTGATATGCCACCTCTCCCCATAACTTTGCAGATCACAACCTAATTCTTTTCCACCCTGTATAACTTTTGTCCATTTCTTTGGTAAAAAGGGGGTTGACCCAATGTGATAGAGACTTTCCTCTGGTTCTCTTGACATTTTCATGAGTGCAATATATAGACTTTTCTTTAGTTATCTCTTGTTCCCATTATGAGACTGTTCCACTTTTTTCCTGCCAGTCATACATTTGTCTTATGACACCCTTTCTGCCACTTCTATTGAGTAATTCTTCATTGGCTATGTTGTGGACTGCTCATGCCCAACATGTGCCTTTTCATTGCTTGTTGGGTGAATCTTCAACTTTAATTACTCAGAGATAGTTGTCTTCCATGACTTGCAGACTTACAGAATGAATATTATTCTTAAAAAGAGGGGCCTTTGTCTGAGGGAGAAGATGGAGATCAGTAAAAGCACTGTACTATATCCCAAAGTCAATAACTTGCTTTCTTCCTCCCACTCAGCTTTGGGCTCAGCTCATTGGCCATTTGCAGTTCCTGTCCCAGATTTGTACAGGATGAACCAGCAGTTTTATGGATTGTCTGTCTAATCATATAGCATGCTCTCAGCAGTAGAATTCTTCATCCACTTAATTTTTTAGGTATAGATGGTTAGATCAAACTTTTGAGCCCATCACTATTTCCTGAAACAATAACAACAACTTGAAATTTGTCTTATTGCTGATAAATTGAAGTTGTATACAAAAGTCATCACATTTCATTTTTCTAATTTTGTTGTCTCTTTTTGTTTTCTTTTTGTCTAACCACTTAAAGCCTGACTACCTGCTCCTGATGTGCTTAATTTAGACAAGTTCCTTGGATTTCTCTGTATTGGGCTCCCCATTTCTAAGAATAATTTCTTGGCATCAGAATTTACAAAATGGCTATAAAATACTTTGAGCCCCTTAGGAAAGGGACCCAGAATGATTAGTGTGTCTGAGAAACTGTAGTACTTTTCACAAATAAAATTCAGTGGGAGCTTTTAGCCTTAGGCCTACAGGGGAAAGGGAGGACAGCAGGCCAGTATCAGGCAGAATTTTCTTATCCTCTTCTTCAACAGAGTGCACCCATATAATCCCTCCTCCTGTCCCCAAATGCAGGCATAAGGGCATACTCAGCAAACACAGAATTTCTCAGCCCATGTCTTGGTTCCAGAGGGGACCTGTAAAAAGAGGAAGTTCTAGGGGCAGCTTAGATGGCTCAGTGGATAGAGTGCTGGCCTTGGAGTCAGGAGGACCTGAGTTGAAATCCAGCATCAAACACATGATACTGGCTAGCTGTGTGACCCTGGGCAGTCATTTAACCCCATTGCCTCACCAAAAAAAAAAAAAAAAAAGGAAAAAGAGAAAGTTCTAGTTGGAGGGCTGTCTCCACCATCTCATCTCTAACTCTGCTTCTGCTACCCCAGCCCCTCTAGGTTTGGCTGTTATAGATTTTTCTTTTTGTATAATTCAAGAAGGCTGGTTGCAGTGGGGCGGAGTGGAAATGAAGGAGATGGGGAGGGGGAGTGGGGAGAGGAAGCCTGCAAGTTTCTTGCTGGCTATCATTTATTAAAAAAAGGACTAGAATGAGCTCAACTTACTGGTGGGAGGCTGATAGAGATGGGGGTAAGGTGGAGTTACTGGGTATTATGCTGGGTCTGCTAACCGCAGGCAGCTGTGGACCTCAGCAGTCAATGGCAAAGCATTTATTACTGCTTAAGGAGGGAAAGAGATTCATAACTGGTGCCCTGGCATTGAACGGTGGGAGCAGAAAGTACCTCACTTTTACATCTTTGCCCCAGGCTTTTACCACTGGATCCTGTGGCTTAAGTTTCTGGCAGCATCTCAACCCTACTCCCACAAACCCAAGGCTTTCTGCGGCTTTCATCATCCCTACGGCACCTACTCCGCAGCAATATTGCCCCTTTGCTCCCCACCCCTTCTTCCTTCTGCTCTCCAGGGAATTATGGATGACACAGTAATCTTATTCATTTAGCCTCTAGCTACTTAGGCTCTTTTCTTTTCCTCCTGCTCAGCAAGAACTCACCTGGACATTGGGAAGCTATTTTTCAAAAATTAAAATTAGTGTTAAGGTGGGACTCACACTGAGGAATAGATAGGTACTGGTGGGACTGGGGGAGGTGACCGTCAATGAGCCTTCACTCAGTGCCTACTGTCCCTAGCACAGTGACACCTGGCCAGGAGCTGGGCATACAAAGAAACAAATGAAAAATTCCTTGCGTTCAAGTAGCCCATATTGGAATGAAGGAGAGAGCATGTACACACATGCAAAAGAAATACCAGGTATTTTTTGGAAGGAGGGTTTGTGGGGAGGCACTGGCAGCTGGAGTGGGAGGGGGGAGAAGGGATTAAAAAAAGTGTCAAGTCACAATTGAGCTCATCTTTGAAAGGTGATGGGGGTGGGGGTCTGGCTGGTGGAGGTGAGAGGGAAAATCATATATGAGGGATGTTCCAAGAAGGGCATAATAATCCTGAAAATTCATCATAATCCTGAGAAGGGAGGTCAGAGCCTGCATGTAAAGATCATTAAAAGCCAAACATGAGTTTATAGCCAATCCTAAAGGCAATAAAGAGGTCACATGAAGCTCCTTGAGTCGGGAGTGACGTGATCAGAATCAGACTTTAGGAAAACTGGCAACTGAATGAAAGATGGTTTGCAGACCAAAGAGACTTGAAGTAGGGGAATCAAAAGGAGGCTTTTGTCAGTAGTCCAGATGACAGGGCTGCTAGGTGGCACAGTGGACAGAGAGCTGGAGTCAGGAGGTCCTGAGTTCAAATCCGACCTCAGACACTACTAGCTGTGTGACCCTGTTTGCCTCAGTTTCCTCATGTGTAAAATGAGCTGGAGAAGGAAATGGCAAACCACTCCAGTATCTCTGCCAAGAAAAACCCAAATGGGGTCATAAAGATTCAGATATGACTGAAACCACTGAATAACAATATCTATCTATCTATCTATCTATCTATCTATCTACCTATCTATCTATCTATCTATCTATCTATCTATCTATCTATCTATCTACCTATCTACACGTCATCTCCTCCATTCTACTATGAGCTACTTGTGAAGAGGACCTAGGATGAAGTGAATGGAGAAAAGGAAATGGATGTGAATGATATTGTAGAGATTTGCCAACTGGTTGGATGCACAAGGTGGGAAAGAGTGATGAGTTGAGTATGACTCCTAGGTTGAGGATCCCAG